GAGAATTCCTAATAATATTGGTAGACATGATTATTTTCTTTCTTTGGAACATTTTCTTCTCTCTGCTTTTGTGATCACACACTAAGTTGGTTTCCTTCATACTTCTTTGAATGCTGCTTTATGCTTTTGTCCACTTCTCTTCCATCCTTCCCCCTAGTTAAATTTTGTAATATTTAGGGTTTGCTACAGTTCCCTTTTCTTCTCTTAACCTACATTCTAAACTCTGAATTATATTATATACTCTGAGAGTTTATCTACTATCTCGTCAGTAATACTTCTCAACTTTATGACTTTAGCCCAGATCCTTATTTAGATGTCTAATTTCCTATTTGATATATCTTTTTGGTTATTTCACAAAAATCTGCTTATTTTCATGCCTCACGCTGAATGCCCCCTGATCCCTCCCCCAAATCAGTTTTTCTGATCGTTCTCATATTGGTAGATACCTTTTCTGTCCATTTAGCTGCTCACACCATAAAACTGGTAGTTAACTTTGCCATTCCTTTCTGTCTTATCTGCTTTCCTTAACCACATTCATTGCATCACTTTATCCCATCAATTCTACCTCCAAAATATTGCATATTTATCCACTTCTCTCAACTCCTGGTGTCTGTACCCTGGTCGAAGGCATCATCACCTTGTTCTTGAACAGTTGTGGTTGTTTCTTAACAGATCTCTTCTTCCACGCTTGCCCCACTTTTTCTCCAGTTAGCAATCATCATGATCTTTTGAAACCTTAAATTGAATTATGGTATTTTTGTTTTTATTCAATGGATTCCTATTTACTTTGGAATCTAAACTACTTGACTGTGGCTGTAGTCCTTATGTGTTCTAGCCTTGATGACATCTCCACCTTCTAGTATTCCCCTCTCTCATCACAGGCCCACATACTGGCCTTCCCCTCTCCTTAGCTCATTAGTCTCGTCTGCTTAAGGGCATTTATGTATCCTGGTTTCTCTAACTTACTCTTATTTGTCCTGTAGGTCTTAGCTTAACTATGTCACTTCTTCTAATAGCCCCTTCTTGGCTCATCAATCTAAAGTAGGCCCCCTCAGTTATGCTCTCAAAGGGCTTCATACTTGTTATTTGTAATGCATTTCTCAATTTGTAATTAGGTATGCATGTGTGTGATTATGTGGTTGTCATTTCCACCCATGAGAATGTGTGCTGTAAGAGGGTAGCAATCATATCTGTTTCATTCACATTGCAGATGCTGGATGAATATTTCTTGAATAAATAAATATAATATATTGAGCTTGTTTTCTCTAGCTTGTGTCCAGCCAGTCTCAATGCTTTTGGAGTTATATTTATATTTTTTATTTTAGTGCCAATCAGCTGAGGCCTATACCTCATTTTAGGAATTTTATGTTACCTTTGCCTTTTTTTTTTGTTTAGCTTCAATAATTAATTCTTTGTTCATAAAAATAATATTTTGGTTAGTTTAGTAATTAAAAAATAAATTTTTCATGAGGTTAAAAAATTCACGCGAGTAAATTGAAATCTAGACCTATTAATAGTTCTTAAAATTTGACTTTTTATATGAGTTGTGATATTCATTGTTATTTAACTTTTAGCTATTTGATTTCCTGTTAGCTGATAGCTCTGTTTAAGTTATATCTTTTATGAGACTGGGTCCATTAAAGGTATAATATAGATATATTTTTGCCTTAGTAATTCAGTGAGTGAATAGTAGAACACGTTTTATGTGTTAATTGTTTCTTTCAAAGTTATTACTTCTTCTCCACTCTTTTTAAGTGGTTGAAGAGTGTTGTATTTCATTTCCTCCTTGTGAAAGGGTAGGGGGATGATGTAGCCTATGATTATGGGTACTGATTAGTGACAAAATTCTCCTTCTCTTTTTTAATTATTGTATTTTTAATACAAGGATTATTGTTCTTACTATTTTAAAAATTCATAACCTTCTTGATTTTTAAAAAACCAAAACTCCAGATTGATTTACAATTTGACAAAGTCTCTTCTGTGTTTTGAAATTTTCTATAATATGAATTTTAAGAATTTATGCTTTGAAGTGATTGAATGATTTTTTAAATTTAAGCATCATTTACAATAAAACTGCTAAATTTCTTTTAGCTATCTGAAGATGAAGATCAAATATTGCAGCAGATTGAAGATTCAAGGAGATCCATCGAAACTGAAACAACTAATAATTTTTATTCAGAAAGGATGGCAAAACTTCCACGTGATAGGATTATTAAAGACAATGGCAAAATTCATAAAAAAAATGAGAATCCCCCCCAGTTCTCAATGAAAAATAATACAGATCAGCTTGCCCAACCTCAGTGTAATTCAACACACGTATTACAAAACACAACCAGTAATAACTGCATTCTGCAGGTTGTAAGGTGTGATGCATGGGTACAAACAGAGAGGGACCCTGAACCTGTAATGGAAAAGAAAATAGATGCTGCCATACAGTGTGACATAATTTCAGAATGTAACTGTAGAAGTGATGTGTCTTTTCTTTGTAATGTTGAAAGGTACAGTGAAAATATTAAGGCAGGTACCACTGGAGGGCAGGAAATCCTTAAGAATAACTAATATTGTAAAATCTCTGCCTGAGATTTAGCATTTCACTTAATGTTCAGAATTTCATTAACATAACAAGGAATGAAAAAGGGTAGCTGAATTCAAGGTGCAAATATTTGGAGGATATGTTTATGAATTGTTTTAAAATATTTTAATGTTAATTTATGCATTTAAGTTTACATAGATACTTTTTTAGTAGCTTTAGGATATCTTCAAGTTTTTAGAAATATATATAAATTTGCTGTCTATCATTCTTAAGGTGATTATTCATTATATTATGAGATGCTGCTATTTATGGATTCAAAATACATTAATTGCTTCCTTATGCACTTAATTTAAAGTTTTGTGCAGTTGCATATTTTAGCAAAAGTGTTCCCTTCCAAGATTTTCAGACAGAAAGTAATACCAAATAATATCAAATGTTTTATAACCTTATAAGAATTTTCTTAGCTACTATCTTAAATATTATACCCTCATTAAAAAATTCTGGCAATAATTTTTAGATAAGATATATTTTATGTTTTGTTTGGACAACATTTTTGTGGGTGCTTATATTCAAAGGAAATTTTTTTTCTTGAAGATTAGAAAATGTTTCAATACTTTCATAAAAGAACAGTTCAATATTGGAAAAAATGATTCATGTTCACCAATTCTAATATTGACAAGATTCTTTTCATAAATATTACATCAGGATTTCTCATAATATGTAGGCTTTGTTTCCAACATATATTTATTTTATGTGTCAAGATTTTAAATGTTCGTATTCTAAAATTGATATTACAAATTGTCCAGCAGGGGGCATTCTGATATTTAATTGAACCAAAAATAAAATTGTTAGGAGTTTCTGTGCCTTTAATGAAAAGGATGATTAGATATTTCATTTTTTCATGCACACATAATCACTCAATGGTTTGTGTTGCAGAGGCTATTTGAAGTGTAACAATTCAGAAATACCAACAGCTAATATTCAACAGTAGCAGTCTCTAGGTTTTTAGCTAGTTTGAGGAAGTTATTTTGCTGCCTCAGAGTAAGCACAATGAACTCCTAAATAATTTTCTTAAAGTATTGTAATCATCTCATGAAAGGGGAATATAATTATCTGATGCACATTTATAAGTTTCAAAAGGCCAGATTTTTATCCTGATATTAAATGAAAGGTATTCCATCATGAATTGATTACCCTGAGCATTATTTTGCAAAACATGAAATATTATAGCAATGAAGACTAATATATGGAGGGAAAAAAAGACTATTTGGTCGTGATATTAGAATAAGATTGAGCTGTGAATTTTGAGTTGGTTTCAAATATCAAATAAACTGATTTTTCCCCAAACACTAATCAAAGTCTAGCAGTATTGAAAGCACATTCATATCAAAAGTAGTTATATTTTTATCAGTGTCATGATTTGGCAGTTAAATTCGGTAAGGTGAAGGAGAATGTCAGTGTTTTTAGTGCACTGACCACACACAATGAGAGCAGGGAAATGTGCAGTGTAGTAAAGAATTTCAGCTTGCCCAGAAAGAGGCCTGGACTTTGCCCTTGGCTTTTGAGAGGTAATCTCTAAGCCCTTAGAGTGTCATGCCTGATAGAAGTGACCTTGTTTGCCTGGGGATGCTGGGCCAAGCCAGATAGTAACAATGTGATTTAGGATGGGACTTTGAGGCAAGCAGTATCATCTCAACTTCCTAAGGGGCTAGAAATTGAGGTCAGCCATGTGAGCAGTCAACCATCCAACTATGACTGAACCCCAGTGAAGACTCAGCCCCAAGACTCAGGTGAGCTTCCCTGGTTGGCAGTGTTATCTATGTGTTGTCACACATTGATACCAGGAAAGTAACACGGTGACTCCACAGAAGAGGACAAGTGGAAGCTATGCATTCACTACTTTCCTAGACTCTGTTTTATGGGTTTCTTACCTAGGCGGATTTTAATCTGCATCCTTTCCCTGTAATAAATTGTAGCTGTGAGTATAACAAGCTTTCAGTGAGTTCTGCATCTTTCCAGTATTACCAAATCTGAGCGTGCTCTTGGAATCCCTGAAGTAAGAATAGTTTCGTGAACTGTTCCCTAACTTTGCAGTTGCTAACTCTTTAGGTGCTTTAATAGATAAATGTATTTAAAGGAAAGCAAGTATCGATTTACAAAATAAAAGAGACATCTCTTATATAGCAGAATAGATTCTAACACATTTCTCATGTACAATATTGATTTAGGTTTTCTCTTATGGAAACCATTTCATGAAAAAAAAATGATGTAAACATAGCTTTCTTTCCACACTTGCAATTTAAGGTTTATAAAACAAAGTAAATCCTAGCTAAGGTTTATCCAAATGAAACAAAATGGAAAAGTTAATAATGATTCTGCACACATTTGTGAACTGCCAATCACAGTGAGTTCAAATAAAATACTGTACATTCAGTAATGGCTGATGTATATGATACTCATTTGGAGTTGGTGTTTAACAGATTTGTGAAAGTGCATTATTTTGATCAGTATCAAGTACTCTAGGAAGTTGCCATCTGAAATAATATGAGGCTATCTTTAGGGATAGTCTCATGTAATTTACTTTTATAGCACTTATAATTGTAATTTATTTGTGTAATTTTTTGGTTAATGTTTATTTTCCCCATGACACTATAGATAGCAGTGTAGCAAATAATTCTGCTCATAATTCCTTGGCACTTTTCATTTCAATACAGGCCAACCTGATTTCCAGCTGCCAGTATCTGTGACTCATTTCCTTAATGATTTCTCTTGGCTTCAGACACCTGCTCTGCCTGGGTGAGAGCAGGCAGGACATACCAAGGAATTCATGCTGTTTAGAGTAGTCTTTTAAAACAATGTCTGGTGAGTGTTGGTGAAAACAATATACCAGTTCCCTTGTCTCTTGGGCAGGATAACTCCCTCAGAAGTGTGTTCTACAACTGTCTACTCAAAGTGTGATCTGCTGACCCATAACATTAACACCGTTTCCTGGGAGTTGGTTAGAAATGAAAATTCTTAGAACTGACCCTAAAACTATTGAATCAGAATCTCTGAGAGTGGGGTCCAGGAATCTATGCTTAAATAGGAACTGGTCTTGCAGAGTTCCTCAGAAGTATTAAGCTTTAGTTGCATACAATGGTAACTTGCTTGATAATAAGCCCTTTATTAGCTTCCTTCCTTCCCTGTCTCCTCCAATTCCACAGCAGCGTTTCTTGTGATCACACCTAAAGCAAACTACATGCACTAGAATCATTGCCTTATGGTTTTCTCCTGGGGGAATCCCTATTGACAGATTAGGGACCATGGTAAATGAATTGTCTTTATAGGTATAACTCAGATGTTAACATTGTTAATTTTTTTAGTTCTTTAGTCCAGTTTTCCATTTCTGCCACATGCTGCTGAAAACTCAAGTGTGTCTAGCAGCACGTTAGAAAAAAAGTGAAGAATTAGTAAAATAAAATATACATCAGAATGAATGATCCAGAATGCAGGAGAGAAAAAGAAAATAGAGTTAAACGATAGAGTGATAGAATGAGAAACTCCAACATATGTTTAATTGAAGTATCAACAGTGGAGGAGAGAGAATAGAATAGAATAATAATTTGAAGAGAGAATGGCTGAGAATTTTCCAAAATTGATCAGTCATACTAATCCACAAATTCAAGAAGGCCAAAACTTTCCAAGTATGACAAATAATATGAAATCCATGTGTAGACCCAGCATAATAAAATGGCAGAGGCTCATAGACAAAGAGAAGATCTTAAAAGCAGCTGGAGAGAGAAAGACTACCTTCCCAGAGGGGCAGCTATACTGTTAGATGACTTTTTAGTAGCAATAATGGAAGTAAAAAGACAGTGTATTAATTAATACCTTGCAATCCCGATAGAAAATGTCACCCTAGAATTGTTTTTCCAGCCCTACAGCTCTAGCATTGTTTAAAAGCACCAAACTAGCCAATGATAGCATTAAGGAACCATTTCTACAGGGTTTGGTGATTTATATTTAAGTTTTTTTGTTTATATTATAGCTAGTGCTTTCTCTTTGTGGGAAAAGTTTCTGATTTTTTCACTGTTTGGTCTTTAACCTATATACTCAATAATTCTGCTATTGCTTCTGTTTCTTTAGGCCTCTGTATTGCCTTTGCAGCACTCAGGGTTGTTCCAGCCATAGGAATTTATTTTATTTTTAAATGTTGGTCTGCAGTGTATATTCCTTTCTGCCTGTTGCTGAGGAGACATCACATGTTCTCTCATTTATTTAAAAACGCTTCACAAATGTGAAAGGATAGAAAGACAGAACCTCAACAGATAATACCCACAGTGAATCGAGATAACTGCTAGGGTTTTGAATGTATACGTTCATTTTGTGTATTCCTAAGCGGCTCCGTTCAGATGAGCGCAGTTTTGTGTGTTCACTGCATGTTTCTTGTGGATGCAACTGCACATCAGTCAGTGTGAAATTCCCATTATGCTCAAGCTGTTCCTGATCTATCACGGGGGAACACATTTGCCTTCTCAAAACAGTCTAAGGACTATTTCACCCAGACGATAGTGTCTTTTCATTTGCTTACTAGTGTCTTTTGAAGGGCAGATGTTTTAAATTTTGATGAAGTCTAATTTATTTTTTTGAGAATTAATGACTGTGGTCACAAAAATTCTCTTCTGTAATTTTCCTTCTAGAAGTTTTGTATTTTTAGGTCTTATATTTAGGCCTATGATTCATTTCCAGCTCTTAAAATAATTGCAAGGTTATATATATATTTTCATAACGATATCCACATGCTCCAGCAGCATTTGTTGAAAAGACAGTTCTTTACCCCATTGAATTAACTTTGCACCTTTGTCAAAAATCAATTGACTGTAATGCATAGGTTTGAACTCTTTATTATGTTCCGTCAAGATATATATATTTTTATATGACTAACACATTGTTTTAATGTAGCTTTATAGCAAGTTTTGAAATCAGGTAGTGTTACTACCCATTTTTCAAAAAGTGTTTTGGCATTTTATTCATTTTTATGTAAATT